AGATGTGTATAATGGCGGACCCCTGGACTCCACGCCCAGAACCCCCCCTTGAAGCGTGCTGGCTACGGGCCTGGTAACAATGCACGCAAATCAGAGTAACTTCTACTACCAACTTGTATCGGCTCAGAAAGTCTTTTAACAGTCTTAGTAGAACTGTTGATTTCTTAAGTGAGGGGCGGGGCCGGGGGAGTTTGTAGAGGGCGATTATTTGAAGTAAGGGACGAGTTTGCTAGGGAGCGAGTTGAATGGTTCCTCCTGTGGAAGTGGTGATGCTAAATCGCGTGAGCTTCGCTGTCGCGTGCCTGCTCTGTCGCGTGCGCCTCGCAGTCGTATGCCCAGCTACCGCGTGCCGTTGTCGCTTGCCGCTATCGCGGTTCACTACCGCGTGCCGATCGGCGCGCGCCGCTACGGCGTGCCGCTGTCACGTGCCTCTGTCGCGTGTCACTATCACTCAATCAATCAATCAATCAATCAATCAATCAATCAATCAATCAATCAATCAATCGATCAATCAATCAATCAATCAATTTATGGGAAAACGCTTTTGAATCAGCGGCACACATGTACGTGTTGTTCCTGATAAAAACCAACTAAAATTTAACAAAAAAAACAAAAACAAAAAAAAAACCCAACCCAATCAACTAATTTACAACAACAGGAAAATGTTGCACATACAGCTGTAAAAGTAAGGCATGGGACAATATTGTTTAGGTACTGTATAACAAAAGTAAACTGGCGTACTGTAGGCCTACATGAAATTTAAAAATGAAAGTGAAAGCGAAAATATACTATAAAAAACCGGACTGTATACCATTGAGTGGGGGTGTGAATTTGCATATTTAAAACATTGACTTAAATTCTGACTTTAATTTCCAAGCCCTTTTTAAATATTTCTTGTGGTATTAAAAAATGCGGTGAACAATGATACCGTTTACTTCATTTGCATTAATGCAAGTCACCCAAAAGAAATAGCTGGATTGCTGATGATCGGCGTCGCCAATCATTGTACAGATAAAAAGTGAAGCCACTGACGCCCTGTTTGGGGTGGGGGGGGGGCGGGTGGCTGTATTTAAAGGGAAGTACCACCAGTTTAGAAAAGTTTATTTTGGCATTTGTTTAAATTATTGGTAAAAATCATTGCAATAATTTTTAAAAATAAATTAAAATTTAACATGAGGATTTTTTTCAAGTCAACTTACCACTCTACGCAACTGTTTATGCATGCTTGATAAACGAGCGAATTATGTCGCTTTGTTATACACGTCGATCACTAACGGTTCCCAACTTCGTCTGTGCTTTTTTTATTTGTAAATTTTACGTTAAGCCTGAATTTGAATTTATTATTAAAAAGTATTGAAGAATTGATATTTTAAACAGTAATTTAAACAAATGCCAAAAGGAACAATTGTCTAAACTGGTACTTCATATAGGCCCCCAACATGGCGTCAGTGGCTTCACTAAAACCAGCCAGAGCAATCTAGTTAAATAGTAGTAGAAATCAAAATTGCCACTATCGCAGTTCGCTGCCGCGTGCCGCTGCCGCTGTCGCGTGCCGCTATCGCGTCGCGTTCTGTGTAAATAGGCCTTATTATATCATTGGCGATATCAACGAGGAAGTAGGCTACACTTTTCTTGCAGCAACATTTACAAATTTTCTAGTTTTCAACTGTTAGAAGTCCACAGAAACAGCAGAATAGCTGAAAAGTTGCATCGCTTTGATACCGGGTTGGGCTCAGGGGTTCTTTTTCGCTGTTACCCCAGAAAAAATGGCGTCCAGAAGGTAATAATAAAATATTTAGATCCTCGGTCTAGGCTAGGCCCTAGGAGGCCCAACAACTACAACATGCGTAGGGATAGGATAGCCTGCTTTTTTGCCTTTATTGGCTAGCCTAGGCAAGTGAGTGCTAGGCCTAGACCTAGCCTGTCGCACTCTAACTTAGGCTAGGCCCATAAGGCTTAGGACTAGCCTAGGCCTTGATTATTTTAGTTACTATGGTAGTCATTATTAAAACTTAAGCTGATAGCTAACTAGGCTACCTAGGCCTAAGCCTAGACTACTACTACTACTAGGCTAGGCTAGGCTTCTTAGGCCCCAAAGTAAGAAGTTGGATCCTATCTGACTCGGGTTCAATAATGTATCTAGGGCTACCTAGCTAGGCATACCGGTCCTTCTTCTAAATACCACACGGACTACACAACATCACACGAATGCAAAACTTATTAAAAATTACCACACGACAGTAGAAAACGGCTTGATAATAATTAAATAAAAACCACCTTTTATAGTTATAGTTCGAATTATGGTAAAAATTGACCTTTTTTTAACAGTTTTTTGCCGCCGTGCTTCAGAAAATAATGCGTTGACATTGAATATTTCTAACGCATTGACGTCTGCAGAAACACGTTCAACCATGATCTTTTAAATAGGCCTACTACACTCACTACGTATGTTATATTTCATCGAGAGACTATATTTTAAAATATTCAAGGCACACCACATAAAGGCTAATAAACTTTAAAATTGTAAATAATAAAAAGGAAAAAATTAATTATTTGTTGTTAAAATTACTTCTTTATTATAATATATATATATATATATACATATATATATGTCTCTTATACACATCTAGATGTGTATAAGAGACAGGTATAAAGGAGGTCACGGGTTAAAATCCCAAAGAGGT